AAATAGTAGTGAATAGCTTTGAAAACAGGTCTGCATTAGTTTAGAGTCTGTGATCTGACATATTTTATTTCTTTAACTTCTTTGCTGTGGTCTTGAACCAACCTGATTATTTCTGGTTTGCATAATGAAGTCTTATTCAGTGACCTTCTGGGGTTTGCTTCATATACTTATTTTTTGGTTATGCCTTTTCGTGGATATTGAGTTCAGAATCATTTAGAGATGTCTGAAAAATTGAGAAAATAATGAAAATGGATGCTTTAATTTAAAAGTACTGGGATATGAATACATATTATAATTTATTTTTAAATACTGTTGACATTTAAAATAGCTCTATAAAATGAAAATTCCATTTATAAGATCAGGTTATTTTTAGAATTAGTTCTGACAAAAGCCCTTTATTCTTTTATTTGATAAACATGAATATAAATTAAAGTATTGCACTATACTTATATTTATATAAACACACAGTTAACAAAATATCAGGCAATAGTAACATGTATAGCTGGGGGCACATCCTTCAATTCTCAATTGTTGTAAAATTTAAATCAAATTTGAGGTAATTATCTAGGTGAAACATGTATTCACCTTCTGAATCTACATAAATTGCTGTTTCTTTTAGCCAAAACTTCATTCAAATGTGTACAAAGAATCAGGGGCTTTAATGTAACAGATGGATAGAGAATACAGAGTAGCTGCTCATCACTAAGTTCTTACTGGAAAAGAAAAATTCCCATTCCCATGTTTCAAATACCATGTCCAGTATCTCTGCTTTGCCTGAATTGCATGTCTTTAAGCATGAGTGCCCCACAAATGCCAAATATGAGCTGGAGCAGGCTGCTTCCTAGGAGTCAGATTCGGAAATAATTACTTCATTGTGTCATCAGGACAGCATTTTGAAAGAGACATTGGTTTTTAAGCTTTTAGAATGACTACTGATTAGAAAACTCCCAATGTTACGTGTCTCTACTCATGATGTGTTAAGTTCAGAGCTAGACACTTACCATGGATCTTTGTTTTTTGTAAGAAATGAGATAAATTACTTAAGATCCAACTCAGTTCAAAGTTTTAAAGAGATTCTTTGGAGTAGCTATGATTTTCAGGAATATTTTAACTGCACTCTAAATTTTCTCTTTGTAGACAAGGCTATTTCTTGCTCTGGGTTGGTGCCCCTGTTATCACATCCCAGGCTACCAGCAACCAGGGTTATCAATTTAACAAATCATATAGTCTTTAGGACAAATTCAAGAATTCAAGCCAGTTTGCCACTGCTAACAAAGGACACCCAGGACTAGGAATGAAAACCTTCTCACATCCTTACCACAAGTGCACCTGCCTGTTATCTCTATTGAAACTTAACTCTTTAAAATGTTGATCATTTTGCTCCACCCTAGTTCTTCCTGATTTCCCTGTACTATGTTTAACGTATTTACAATTTTGTGTAGTTTGTGACAGGTGACAATTTTTTAGTATGAGCATGAACCAAATTGTTCATGACAATAGTACCATAAAATTATCTGAAATACAATTTTATTTGTTATGGTTGTAGACTCACATTTTGTTCCCTGCAGTGTCTTTCCCCTTCCTCTGAAGTCATGCAAAACCAAAGCACTGTGACAGAGTTTGTGCTCCTGGGGCTCTCACAGAATCCAAGAGTTCAGAAAATATGATTTAATGTATTTTTGTTGAGATACATTGCAACTATGAGGGGCCAACATGGTTGTCACAGTGACCATTGTTTCAAGCCCTGCACTGGGGGGCTGCCCCATGTACTTCTTTTTAGTATTCTTGTCTTCCCTGGATGCATGCTTCTGCTCAGCTACCACCTCAAATGCAATCATAGACACTCTTCATGAGAGGAACACCATCTCCTCTGAAGATGTCTGATGCAGGTCTCTGGTGTTTACTTCCTTGCTGGAGCAGAAGTGACTGTCCTCACTGCTATGGCCTGTTACCTATATGTGGCCATTTGCAAGCCCTTGCACTACACTTCCATCATGAACTGGAGTCTCTGTGGCATCTGATGGGTGTAGCCTTGATGGGGAGTCCGCATCCCATGATTCAAATTTCCTTTACTTTTCACCTGCCATTCTGTGGCCCCACTGTCATAGATCATTTCATGTGTCACCTGTACCCTCTGCCAAAGCTTTCCTGCACTGACACTGACATCCTGCATCTTTTGATGTTTGCCAATAGTGGATCTGTCTGCATCCTCATCTTCCCTATGTTGCTTGTTTCCTACAGTGTCATCTTGTCCTTGCTGAGAAAACACAGTTCTGAAGGGTGTGGGAAATCTCTCTCCACTTGTGGGTGTCACATTGATGTGTGGTTTTACTTTTTATTCCATGCATTTTTAGGTATACACGGCCTCCATCTGCTTACTTCTTTTATAAACTCGTGGCCATATTCTGCACCATGTGAACTTCCTTGCTCAGTCCTATGATTTATATTTTTCAAAATAAGGACATGAAAGATGCAAGAGAAAAATATGGAAGTGTTTGATTTTGCTTCTCAATGAAAAATAAATTATTAAACTTCTAAAAGAATTAATTTACAATAAAGATATCAAAATGATCTTAGATATTTATGAGGTATTGCTGTTTATATGCTTGGAGGTAATGCAACACCATAGAACTTCCAAGAGTATCATAGGCATTTTCAAGAGTACCTAGAAACAAAATTTTTAAACCAGATTCCTGATCAATTCTGAGTTGGCAAGTCAGTATTCTTGAATTTATGCTTATGTTGACTGTACTAATCAAAAGAAAAAGTTTAAATGATGAACTGCCAAACTGCTATTCACCCTATGCCTTGATACACATTAATGAGGAAGTAAAAAATTTTGTAGAGATTTAGAACCAGAAACTTGAAGCATCTCAAGAAAAAAATATACATTTATTGCACTAATCTCAATGATTAATGAAAAAACAAACAAAACACAAAACCATCTCCTATTTAATAAATGCTACTCGGCCTGTGATTTCACAACTACCATATTTCCACCTCACTTTATTGTCTTTTATTAGCTTCTTTCCGCCCAGTCTGTGCCTGAGCACCCATGCCTAGACATGTACTTTGGAAAGATTTGTTTTCCAGGTCCAAGAGTCTTAGGGCTTTCCTAGGGATATCATGTTAAAATAAAAGAGCTTTGTTATTTATTAAAAGATTTGGATTCTAGGTTCTCTTCTATTACTAAGTGTGAGCTTGGATAAATTGACTTCTCCAGGTCTCAGTTTCTTTTGCTAAAGTTAAATTAATAAGAACACTAAAACATTTCTTCTTCACTCTCGACAGCCCATAAATTTTTCTTTTCATGTGCTATGTAACTTGGATATTGTAAATCCATGAAAAAGCATCTGGCACTTTTGCTTTAGTTTTAGTTGTTGTTGCTATTGTAATTATTGCATTCTATTTTTGGAGGAAAGCCAAAATTTGATTTCTCTCTGCCTATTGTCCCCAACTTGCTCCAAGCTACTGTCATCTCACACCTGCATTGCTGTTTGCCGCTTGTCACTGATTCTTTCTTCTGTCTTTGATCTCTGTGTTTAGCCAGATCCTCTTAGATGCTGATACCAAAGCAGAATCAATGTATACATAGTTTGTGGTGAGAAACCCTGTAGGAGGACAGAGAAAGGGGTGCCAGGGATGCTAGGTGGTGATGTGAGTCTGATAGCAGCTGAAGACAGGATCTAGGCTTCTGTGTACTTATGAGAAGTTCAGCAATGCCACCAGGGAGTCCTGAGTGAAATCCTAGTGTCAGGGGAGTTCTGTGCTTCCTTGTAATGGGCCTGCCTTCATTTCCATACTGGGCTCACTGACGTGAGAACCAGTGAGTGGAAAGCATGGCCTCAAACTCCACATCCAGGGCCCATGATGACCTAACTCAACTGCTACAGAGAAAATCCTTATTGAAAAAATTTATTAGTGACTACCTATTTGTTAATCTAGTTAACATAACCTAATAAGACATTCATTAGAAGGCTTTTTATTTATATTTTATTTTTAGCTTCAAGAGGTAAGTGCCTATTTCCAGGATGTTTTTATCTATAAGGATAGGCAACTAATATCTATCTGCATATCATATCCCATATCACAGTACATAGATGTTAAAAGTTTCACTTATTTCAAGTATTTTATTACACTCATTCTAGCATTTGCCTACGAATAATTGTTTATTTTTTAAACTTCAATGTATCATATTTATAACAGAACTATATTAGGGAAAATATTAATGTTAATATTCATTTTCTTCACATACTTTCTTATTTACAGTACAATCAAGAAACAATAGGATATATACACTGTATTCAACAAGACATGTTCCAAAATGTGCAAAACAGCAATCTACATAAATAGAAACTTCACAAATGTGTAGCCACACAATCACATCAATAAAAAATCACATCACTCACAAATCTGAATAAAGACTCAAAAAATAATGGAAAAGACAGACACAAAAGAGTCTTGCATCAGTCTTATTCTATACAGTACCAGAACAGGTAAAACTAACTGATTTTAAAGATGATGACTGTGGTTATTTTGGGATATATGAATTATTTAGAGAAATAAAGTGGACTTCTGTGTACCAATAATGGCTGTTCTTACTCAGGGTGCTTTTATGTGATAGCATTCAATTTGAAAATGTCATACACATTTTGTTATATTATCATATATTTCAATAAGAAATAATAAAAATTGAAGATAATATTAAATTCAGTTAAGGCACATTAAAGCACTAAAGCACAGATTCCATTTTTTCAGGACAATATCGTACAATACTTTATTTTTAAAATAATTTCATGGCATGTGTGCAATCTTAACGATTAAGGAAATAGATGAGTATATGAATTAGAATATTCCTGAATTTACTGATGGGGTGTCAATATAGAAATAGAAAGTACCAGAAAGAAAGTGTTTAGTTTTTGCCCATTTATATTTCCACACTATGACAGGAAGGTGAGAATGATTTTAATATACTTGTGTCTCATGGAACCAGTAATAACTCAGAAGCTTTTTTTCAATAAGATTTGATGATACCTAACTTTTCTCATGGCATTTTTCATCTCCATGTTTCTCAGTGTGTAGATCTGAAGGTTGAACATGGAGGTGATGATGGCGTAACAAAGAGCAAACACTTTATCTTCTGGGAATGTTGTGGCAGGTCTAAAGTAAATGAATAACGATGGAGCAAAAACCAGCATCACCACAGTTAGATGAGAGCTGCAGATGGAAAGGGACTTGCTGTGGCTCTCTGCAAGGTACTCCATAAAGTGTACAATATGAAAAAATAAGGCAACATCAAGACAACAAAGGTCACCAAAGCAATTAAGCCTGAGTTAGCAATGACTAAGAGACCTATCTTGGGTGTGTTAGAACAGCCCAATTTCAGCAAAGGGTAAAAGTCACAGAAGCAGTGATCTATCTCATGGGGTCCACAGAATGGTAAGAAGATGGTGAGAAGGAACTGACAGGCAGAGTCCTGGAATTCCCCAGAGAATCAAGCCATGACAATCCAGCTATACCTTCACTGGTTCATGATGACCAAGTAGTGCAGTGGCCTGCAGATGGCCACGTAGCGGTCGTTAGCCATCCCCATGAGGATGAAGAACCTGATGCTGCCAAATAAGTGGGTGGTAAAAAGCTGCACCATGCAGTTAGTGTAGGAAATAATCTTTCTGTCTGACTGTCAGTCAGTCATAAGCTTGGGAGTGAGTATGGATGTATAATAAAAATCATTGAGTGAGAGAAAATTGAGGAAGAAGTACATGGGTTGGTCAATTAGTTGTCGGCATGTGCTGGAAATTATTATCAGCACATTTCCCAGCCAAATAGCAATGCAGCAAAATAAAAACAACACAAAGCAAAAGACTTCAATGTTCTTGTTATGAGAGAGTCCCAGAAGAATAAAAGCAGTGATGTTATGCCCTTTTTCCACAGTCCAGTGGAGTAAAAAACACACATTACCTGAAATGACACAATTCATAAGCTTACTTACCAGTGTTTCCTGAATAGTGCATTGATCACAGTCTATTTGAGGAACCAACATGATTTTATTTACTTCACTCAGAATCCTAGAGCAAAAAGAACCACCAAAGACACCTAATAAACAAATAATTTTAAAAGTTCTGTACCAGAGAATATTGCACTGAAGTTTGACCGTAATACAGGATATGATATTTGACAGAACATGTACCATTTACCATCATGAATAAAGGTATGCATTTTTCTAAATTTGTCTAATTCAATCATTTTGTCCAATTCTATGAAATTTTCAGACAGAAATTTAGTTTGTAGGGAGATAAATTGTGATATAATTTGGATTCTTGTCACTATATAGTAACGTGTCTTTGTCTTGCATGTCAATTTTCTCATATATTTGAGCACAAATAAAAGTGTGGAAAAACATGCCTTGATTCAATGCATATCTTGTGAGAGTCGTGGTAGGAAATGAAGTTTCTTTGTAATTCCTAGACATATTTTTATATATTATATAAGTAACAGCATGAATATTAGTCGCCAAATGGTATATAAATATTTAGGAAAACAGCAGTAAATTTTAAGCAAATATAGTGTTTAACAATATTAAAATATTTTGAGTCTAATAGTCTCAATTATCCTCTCAATTTCTTCCTGTGTAAAAGAGATATTCTAATTTCAATGCAAAGACCCTATGTGTGTAATGTGACACTATTAAACATAATATAAAACCAATAAGTGTAAGGTGCCTACAGTCCATCCATGGTAGTGATATCCTGACCTGGTGATAAGCTGTTGCATTAGTATATGTTGCCATAAAGCTAACACTGAATATTTTCCACCAATTTTTGTTTTATAGTTTTAAATTAACATTTTAGAGGGGCAGGGATAGGGCTCATGGGTACAGCGCCTGCCTCACAAGTGCAAGGACCTCAATTGGATTCTCAGTTGAGGAAATGAATGAATGAATGAGTAAAGAAATAAATGAACATTTACAATTAATTTTTAACCAGCCACCTTAAAACACATGCCATTTGGAAAAGCATGTCTTCAGCCCTCATACTTTGCTTTTCAGTGAAATCCTATTTAAGTTTCTTTCACTACTCCCCATAGCACTGACAAAGCTAAGATTTTCACCCACACAACGATTGTTTACCTTTTAGAAGAAAGTAAATTTTTAAAATAGAAATTCAATCAGAAATAGACTAGGGTCACTTTTTTAGAAGTAGTTTCTGATCTTTCCCAAATTAGTCTACTAAAATAATTTTTGCCATCCAATGTGAAAGAATAGTTTATTTGGATAAAATGAGGTTGAATATAATATTTGATTTTTTTAAAAATGAATTGACTGCATTTCTGTTTTCACAAACAATCAAATATAAACACAATATTTAAAGCACTGCATAACTCTTCTCATGTGTAGAAACAGTTTTAAGTGAAATAAAACTCTAATTAAGGCTAAGAATTTTCTCAGGCACAGCTAGTGTATAGATTTATATTCACTTGTTGAATTTTCTAAAAATATTACTTGCATTTCAAATTCCTTGGTCAGACAGGTAGGGCTGATGATTCATTTTTCTACCTGATAATTTTTCCATCAGATTGAACTTCTTCACACATACAGCACTATCATGATTAACTGTTAGCATCTTAAATTTTTACCAGTAAAAAGCTAATTATTTTTTAAGATGTGGGTGTAACATCAGACCATACATAATTAAGCTATTAACTTTGGATGTGATTTTTGGAAATATGATATTTCTTTTTTTTTTTAAATTTTATTTAAAAGGAAAAAGCGAAAAACACAAAACAAAACAAAGCGGTGTAAGGGTACAAGTAATACAGAACTACAAAAAAAAAAAAAAAAACAGTAAGAAGTCACCAGTTAATAGATTGTATATTATCATCTTAGAGATAGTTGCTCAAATCACAGTATCAAAGCATACAAAGTGGACATTCAAATGGTGAGACTGCAAACAGTTGTATTCAATGATCCAACCAAAAACATTAATATAGTCAGCTATTTAACACCCCTAAACATACTTGCTGTTGTATCTTTTAGAGCACTTTTTTTCCTTCTCTTTTTTACAACAAAATTTACACATTTTGGGTTTTATTACTCCTTAGTTCTTATTACTTTTTTGGGGTAGAGAATAAATTCAAATATGGCAAAACAAAGCTGTCAGTCAAAACCAAGGATAAACATAGCACATGTTGTAAAACAGAGTACAAGGTTATCAACAATGGTTATCTACAATGTCTCTTGTTTCCTTTAAAAAAATGTCTATATCATTAGATATTATAAAGTTGAACAAAACAGTAGAGAACAAGACCAATAAAACTTAAGCATTGTAAACATTACAGGACTTCTAAATTTCATTTGAAAAGTAGCTTATGCTTTTTTAAGAAATGTAACAGAATATATCTCACTGTAAAATTAGAGATACACTGAGACTTGACTTTAATAATAAATGAGAAAGCTCATTAAAACAATGCAGTGGTGGATGAATGCTATTATGCTTATATTCACACAATAAGAAGAAAAATAAATAAAATATATTTAGTGTTATATAGATGAGAAAATTTGTACTTAGTTACATACCCAGTGCTTAACAAGCTAACTAAGTCTTAAATCCTGAGTTTTCCCTGCCCCCTTGCAAATGAGTTCACAAGCCCCACAACATGTTATGTAAAATGTTTAAGTAAAAAACCTAAAATTCTAATAAATTGAACATTCTCATTAATTCCCCTCATCCCAATTGCATGTATGTCTGAAAATATCAGACAGCTAAAAAAGATGTGATTCAATCATTGCCTCATGGGTAATGGTAATGCATTCTCAGATACTGTTCATGTAACAAATATCAACAGGCTTAAAAAATAGAAGATTGTAAATCCTGACACTGCCATATTAAATGTATGAGCTTATATTCTTGGCTCATACATCACAGCAAAGCGAGTGTGCTACCCTCCATTGTCCCCAAGCATCCTTCACACATTGATACACTCTTCAGAATTTAGATAACATTCTTAAAGCTTTACTAACACCCTTTCATGAAATCCCACCTCCCTTTTTCATGTGAAGTCTCCCAGTTAACCAGGTGGCATTATTCTCATTTGATTGCCTTTTTCTAGAATATGGTATTTCACTGCAATAGACACTCAAGAATTCCTTGAATTTCATGCTCTCTTAATCTAAAAGTCTCTCACTATACAGCATTTTCAGTAGTTGCTGTTTGTAAATGAGCTACTAATTAATATGATTATTTAAACTAGGAATGAAAATATATTTTCAAAAATATCATGCATTAAGAGATAATGGTGAAGGAGAAAAATAATTTACTCACATTTTGCATCTATTTAAAATAGGTTCTTTAACTTTATAGTTTTACCTGTTCTCTATTCATTGAAATTATTACCAATCTTATTTAAAATATTTCCTGTTTATATTCCTACTTGAATTATTTCTTTACAGTTTACTTTTTTCAGTCTTAATTTGTTTTTCTTTTCAATTTCTATTTATCATTGGTCTGGGTTTGCAGTAGGTAATGACTACTTTCCTCATGTGGAGTCAGTGCATGCACACATCTCATCTTCAGCAGCACAGTCATTGCTACTGATGTTCTCTTTGTTTTCACCAATTTATGCGTAAATTAACACAAAATTTCTAGTATTTCAAATTTATCACATTGATACATCAAAAAAAGATGGGAGGCCACCTCATAGGAAAAAAATTTGAGACAGAAGTATTTGTTTTAAAAATAGTTAAATATTAGTCCTTCTACAATCAAATTATTCTTGAGCATTTTCTTACTCAAATGTCAAATAAGTATTAGATAAAGATTACATTCAAAAGGTTTATCCTTTGAATGTATTATGGAGTAAAATTTAATCAGTGCCATATCCCTGAGTAATCAACTTACCAGTCAGCACTTTTTTAGAAAAAGGTTACTGGAACAATTCTGTAATGGGGTTCTAAATACCCCGGAAGAGAAGGATCTGGGTAGAATGCTTCTTAAGCCCCATTTGCTGCAAAAAATGTTAATGGCTGAGATAGGCTGCACATGCAATTTGAGTTTCTCTCCCCATCTCTGTATTGTGAGGAGAAATTTAGAATTATGGATTTTATATTAAATGATCTCCACCTGTCTTACATAGCATCTTTATTTTGTTCCCTGGGGAAGAATTGTGCTTGAGAATGTCTACTTTTATAACTTTCTCTGGAATATAATTTTTCTTTAAATTGAATACATGTGGAACTTTCTGCTTCATTTTGAGTTTTCAATATGCTCTCTAAGGTATTTGTTAAAAATAAATTTTAAAGTTCAGTACTTTTTTTTAGTTTTAATAACCAAACATTGTAATATTATTCAAAACCATTAATAGAAGTATATCTGAATATAATGTTAGAATGAACTTTAAATTTAAAAATACCTGTTTTGATTTTTGTGGGGTCATTCTAATCTGTAAGAGGAGAGAGAAAGTATCATAACAACATTTGGAAATCTCATTCATAAGTAGGCAGACTGACCACAAATAATTAAATTGAATCAATGGCAAAAATTTTTCCATCTAAGAAAAATCTGATACTTTATAGTTTCACTGTTAAAATCTACCAAACAGAAAATAAGGCACAAATCCCTTGAAAAAAACTGAAAACTTTGAAAACAGAAAAACAGAAAGTCATCTTATGAACTCAGTATAATTCTGATATTAAAAAGTACACTGTAAAAGAGAATTTTGGACCATTATGTTGCTCAGCATAAGTATACAAAGCTTCAAAAGAATCAATATGAGATGATGTAGTACAGTCTAATGGGTTTTTTACCATGGGTGCAAGCATAATCAAAGTATCCAGGTCTATGAATGTGATGTTCTACATTCAATGAATGAAAGAAAAGCATATTGTCATTGCCACAGACACTAAAATTACATCTGACAAAATTCAACATCTCTGCCTAATAGAGACTATAAAAAATTAGAAATAG